GGTTGTCTTTTTGGTTTAAGGCCACACTCAGTAGTGTGTGAGATACAGAGCGGAGGCTGTGTGGTCGAGTCTGGGTCAGATAAATCACTGATTTATTCTGCCTCACGATCACATAGACACGTTTGCAAAGTTTCATTACTATAGCTTCTTGTGCATTCTGAAAAAGAGCCGTAAAACTGTCAACATGATTTATTGTTCTATTTATGTCAGTCTTGACAAGCATTTTCATTCGTTCATCTTTAGCAGTTTTTAAAACAAATCGTGCCACCATCTTTTGCAGTATGAAAAGCAGGAAATGAGGTGCCAAACTGTCAAAGATTGACACCAATCTGCGATGGCAACAAAGAAAGTCAGTCTGTAAAATTTCATTTCTGTAGCTACAACAAAGTGTTTTTAATGCGTGACTGGGAATAACAAGTCCAGTGAATAGCCATCGTTTCGACCGATGTCACGTGAACCTGATGTTAATGATAAAGTGTTTGTAGTCAAAATCGACCACCAACCTCCAGAGACGAAGATGACTATGTTCGTCGGTGCGTAATTTAACATCGTGAAGAAATTTTCAGGTTGAGATTTAACCTCTTTTCGCATTTATGCTGGTCTATTCTAGCAATAGATCTTTTGATGTGGGAATGAACGTTCGGGGGTCGCGGGAGATGCGAAACAGAAATCCAACAGAGAGCCTTACGTGATTTGGGTCTGGCAGTAGAATTTGAATGTATGGTAAACGTAATAGCTGAGGCGGTATATTTCATAGCCGTCATTTCTAGGAATTACTCAGTAACCAATTTTTTTCGGTATTGCCGATTTTGGGCAGTAGCTCTGTATTGACGTGATTTAAGTTACAATTTTGGGTAAGTGCCTGTATGTTCTAGAAGTCTGGAATTCCTGGTTTAGTGGAAGCGCCTGAATTCTTTGGTAACAGCGGTTTAATCGTGTTAATTGGGGTATTGATCCCTTAGAACTTAGGATGTTTACATTCAGCTGCCAATGATAAAACTGATCACTTTTACTATGTTTCCTGGTATTACTTTCTGTTTATTTATTTATTGAGTGAGTGAGTATGGCTTAACGATGCTTTTAGCAATATTCCAGCAATATCAATGCGAGATTCATTGAATGGCATTCTGATCACATGTCGCATATCGTTCACACAATCATGTTGTTTGCTAAAGTGGACTTCACAAATCATGACATTCAATGGATTTTGTATTAGATTGCACAATTGAACGAGTGTTCCAAATATAGCTTTGTTGTTGAATGAGTCCAATAAGTTTGCTGCTGAGAATCTTCAGGCCAACAATAGTTTTGGTTTGATATTCATTATGACAGTTAAATAAGAGACATGGGGATATCGACTGAGATGAAATGCACCTGAAGACATACAAATATTTTGATAAGCCGGTACTAGGGACATTGACTTTTGAGAAGCACACCGCATACTCTATTGACGTACAGGGCAGATGTCCCAGACTCGAGATGCAAGATCCACTCTGATGAGTGCTGCAAACATTGTGTAGTCAAGTGCTTGATACTGAATTTTATGACTGTGAAGATTTTAATTGATCTAAAAGGCAAGTTCTATGGAGCTTTGAGTAGACAAAGTATACAGACTAGCGAAAAGATTTATTTGTGTAGTTTTCGAGAGGATGAATAACTTATGTCTTCATGGACTAATTGCGATGAACAAATAATACAAAACACAATCATATGGCACAACAGAGAGCAAACACAGAACGTTTTAAAAACAGTAATCAATTCTTTATCAGTAACGTTGATCGAGCAAGTCATAGCTTTAACTATGTTATCCATAGAGGCAGGACAAGGATGACAGTTTTTTTAACGGTGCCGTGATCATAAGTTCCATATTGTGGGCTCCTAACAAACTAAAAGCAAAACAGAAGCGACTCAGCTCGTTGCATTCTTTCTTTAGTGAGATGGGAAATCAATTATTTACATCCTTGGATCTTAGAGGAAGTTAGGGTGGCGCATAAGTCACTACAACAGTCCGTTTGGAAGGATTCTGTGCGGAAGGATGGCTTTCTTCAGTTTGGTCTTGATGTTTGTTGGGATAGTTTGTAGGTAAGTATTTTTTTTTTGATGTCACACAATATCTTAGTAATGTGATGGTGGTCTGTAAAAATAGTCTGAACCAGACAATCCAGTGATAGAGCATTGATGTACTCAACTGCGATGCAATAGCATGTCAGCGAATCTGACTCCCAGATCCCGTTAGTCGCTTATACCAGGAAAGCATGGCAAGGATTCTAAGTTCACGAACCTGGCATGTGTCTTTGCATTAGATGCTAATTGCAAACAAAGCTTTTACAACTCCACAGTTCATGTACAAGTATCCTATTTCTGATCTCTTACCGTTCTCTGCCTGGCATATTGTGCATGAATGTCATGGGTTGTTTTAACAAGATGTTTCAATAGAAACAAAAACGAAAAGACACCAAAGTAAAACATGTGCCACAATTTAAAGTATCTATTTTATAAGATATATTGCGTCCATCCTGTGGAGATACTGGGCAGGATGTGTAGCAAGTGTCCAGTCAGACCCAACTGGATCTGGTAGAAGGCCATCCAACGTACTCGTCATAATGTCCGTCACTGGATAGCCGAATGTTGAGCAATGCTTGACTGGCTTGATGCATAGTATTGGTGGCGTTTCGTTATTCTTATACGAATCAAAACGTGTTTCCGCGTTCGATGGGGTTGTCATTAATCTATGCATGATCCTGAAAGAGCCTGGAGGTAAGGACCTTTAACGTGGATCATTGCTCTCAATGTCACTGGATTCTTTGGGTGAGTGAGTGAGTTTAATTTTACTCCGCACTCAGCAATATTCCGGCGGTCTGGATTTTGTGGTCCAAACGTGATTATTTATAGGTCTCCAAGTTATACCAAATTCCTATACTTTTACTGACTTTACGAATTGTTTGTATTATTCCTTTGATGATATAGGACAGGTTTCTTACAACAAGCACTTTCTTTAGTAACTTTATGGGGCAGGAGTGGTAGCCTAGTGTTTCAAGCGTCCGCTTGTCTCCTCGAAGACCCTGTTACGATTCACCATATGGGTTCAGAGTGTGAATCCCATTTGTGGTACCCCTTATGTGACTTCAGTGGGTCACTGATCATCGTGGGTGTGTCAGCGATCATTGTCTGACGTCAGTGAATCATATTGCATGACGCAAGTGACTCACTGATTATTGTGTGACGCTGGTGACTCATGGACGACTGTGACGTCAATACGTCACTCATGTTTGTGTGAAGTCAATTACTGATCCTTAATGTGACTGGGCAGTGAGTCGCTGAGTCGATTAACACCGGACGTCGCCTTTGACGCAACTGTCTAACGTTGCGTCAGCCATCTTGTTGGTGCTAATCACTGGGTCACATTCTGATCCTGCTGCTCTGTGATTGATTGCGCACAATTGCTGGCATTATCGCAAGTGGGGAAAGCTCTCTTGTACTGGGTTATGGTTGAGATATGTAACTACCCACCATAGCGCTACTCTTTTATGAAAACCTTCCCGGTGCGTGCACAATAATCATGATGTATCTTCACATCATCGGTTCGCCTATCATACTAAAATGACACTAATGGATATCTTGAGTTAATTAGCAATCTCACGAAGTGATTTTTCCAGCTGCAATTATGCGGAATTTGTTTTGCGAGCCCTTAGGAATGATAAAGAATAGCATTATGTGTAACCTGAACTCCAGAGAATACTCGGTGTTCCAAATATTCAGGAACACTTACGCTGAATGTGACCTCAAAGATTCATGTACCTGAACATGTTACGCTAGAGATAACACATGCTACACTATTATAAAACATAAAGACATACAGAACCACACCACCCACATCGTCAAATTTCCAGTGAAAATACACAACGGCGTTACCCCACGTGATGATATCCCACCCCACATGTAACATTTCGGGCTATGTTTAGTGTGTTGGTAGATAGGTTTCACGGTATCATTTGTCCACATTTTCACACAATTCGGAAATAGACAGACAGAACTTTCATCAGAAAATAAAAAACGTTTAAACGTTTTTCTTTTTGTGCATCTCTTATCAATGGTGAGGGAAAGTTAAAGTCTTTGTAGTTCTTGTCTAAGGATTTCATTACATACCTGAGGGCTTCCTCTATTAATCATCTCATTTCTGATATTCTTAACACTTTTCAATTTTCCCCTACCCACAATCTGACCAAGTCGCCGGTGATACGTACTTACTATATTTCCTTGGCCTCCCTGTCCCTGTATTGTGCTCAATCATAAGTTCTTGCTGAATATACTTCACAGTTCTGTATACTGTAATGTAATGTCATGTCTACCAGCAAAGTCTTTTGCATTACCCACACCCCTTTCGAAATCATCTAGAACCAGATTTTTCTCTGTGTCAAATCTGCCATGTAAACAAAGGAAGCCGTCTGCTACACCAGGGGAGATAATTCTTAATGTCGTAAGGTTCATTCGTAAGCCTACAAAAGTTGCCTCCCATATCGACAACCTTACTACATAATGTAACAAATATTTTAAATTCTAAGATCAGTATTGGGAAGCTAAGATTTTCTCAATACTTTCAGGGAAAACTGTACACATGTACAGAGACATACACACACTCATAATCACACGCTTTGCTATTATGTTATCTCATCAGTCATACAGCAATACATTTATTATTTACTGCAGTGTATATGATGTTCTGCATGTATCCATGCATATCATCGTATCCCAGCCGGTAGATCGATGCTCATGCTGTTGATCACTGGATTGTCTGGTCCAGATTCGATTATATACTGACCGTCACCATTTAGCTGGAATATTGCTGCTTGCGGTACTAAACAATAAATAAACAAACAAAACATTTAGTCTACTCTAGAATAGTTGTAAAATGGAAACACGACTACAAAATAAATGTATCTAAAATGATTTTTTCAATTAACATTAGGCATGTGACTAATTGTTCTCTGTGTTCGTTTCAGCCAGGCTTGTGATCCAAACTTTTGTGTTGGCCGGGTTCATGAACAGACGTACTGTGACCCTGCAGATAACACCTCCTTCTACGTGTGCGACAACGGCGTTGCGAAACACGCCACGTGTCAACCCGGTCTTGTTTACCGCATAGACTACTGTGCATGGCCTCATGAAGGGGCCTGTGTCCCAGATCCCGTGCCAGACACGTCGCAAGGAACAGTGGTAAATGGCGTGTGTGAACCTTCCGTTTCAACCGGAAGCAGCGCAACTACATCACAAAACACGGAAAGTAAGAGCTATGAAGTTATGGACGTGTCATTCATTTCGATCTAACCCTGTTCCCAACTAATGTCGTATTGTAAATTGACGTACAAAAGAAGGCACACACCTGGTGCTTTTGGATTACTTTCCAAAGAGCGACGATAATGTTTTGAAAAGAGTTTTTGCGGTGATATATATGTCACAGACTTTCCTAATATGTTGCACAAAACACCACTGATATCGTGCCTAATTGCGAAGTTGCCAGTCACATTCACAACACTTTTCAAATAATCCCAGGTGTGTACTTTCTTTTGTACGTCAGTATAGTACTGGTATTTCCGGGCGCTCTATCATTTCAGTGTCATTATTCACATTTTGTTTATTAACACCGCACTTAGCAACACCCGAGCTATAAAACGGCTGCCTGTAAATAATCAAGTCAGGGTCAGATCCAGTGTTTGAGGGAAAGACTTTTCATTGAGAAGCGGCTTTAGTTATTATCAGCCCGTTCCACTGAGTCTTACTTTTATGGTTTGTCAAGACAAACTTGTAAAGTTCATTCAGATAATGCCATAGATATTTTTTCTCTTCCACCACGAAACCGCATTTGCTGTATTGCGGCACAGTTGAATCGAGAGCATGCATAACCGTTTGTACACGTGGGACCTCCATAGCATGGGTTCTGAGCTAAGCCGATATAGGGTGTGTGACAATACAACAACTACTACTCCCTCCCTCCCTCCCTCCCTCCCTCCCTCCCTCACTCACTCACTCACTCACTCACTAAATGAAAATGAGAATAGTTCGTCTTTGTTAGGATGATCACTCCTGTCACAAAACTATAGCATCGATGTAAAGAAGATACTGTCAAGACTGTTCACTTTGTTCAAATAACCAAGTTGTAGTTCATTGTAACTTGTCCTGGAGGTTTGTGATGTCCGTTTTAAATAATTAATGAGCATTGCATTACTTTGGATTATTTTAGGAGAGATGTAAAGAGGTAGGTCCAAACCAAACTACAGAACTGTAATATATACTCTTCAAAAAAGTAGGGGAACTTCATTCTTAATTTACGATTGAAACAATTGGGATATATAACGGAGAAATCGCTCGTGAAAGATGATTGGTGCATGACGTAACATTTGCATGTGTACGATTTTCATTTTCAAAAAAACCAAACACACACTAACAACTGTGTGATGCAAGATGATTGTCAAAATTAATGGTGTACATTGATTTATCGACCTTCTTGAGAACCGTCAAAATCAAGAATGGCATATACAGCTAAACCGGCACTCTGTCAAAACCGGCATTTTTATTTGGTCCCGACTTATGCCGGTATTGACAGAGTACACTGTACGTGCATCCCCTACGTTGTATTTAGGGGTTGTGATGAAGAGAAATGGTGGTGCGTTCATAAGATGTCTGTCTTTGAAAAGTTTGTTAACGCTTATACTTCCTATCCAAATTGAAAGTTCAAGTTCCCCCTATTTTATTTACATTTCTAAATGGATACAACAAATATGATACATATTTGACTAAATTAAGTCATGCATCAAAAACACTGAGCATTCAATTCATATAAAGAGGTAGATATTCAAAGTGAAAATAAAATATGTATTAGCAAGTAGGAGACGCACGTTTAAAGCGAAAATGTGAATAAATCCGAAACTATCCGGGTTAAGTTGATCTTTAGCTACCTATGCTTGTCGTAACTGGCAAATAACGGAACCGAGTGGTCAGTTATACGACTATGTTGATGCACATTATCTCATCCCAATTGTGTTCGGCGATGCGCATGATGTCAATCACTGGATTATCGGATCCTGGCTTGATTATTTACAGAAAATTGGGATATTGCTGAGTGCGGTGTTCAACAATAAACAGAAAGCAAAATGTGAATAATGATACGAAAATTACAGAGCACCCAGCAATAGTACAATGCAATATTTATTAGTAACAGCTTCTAATGATGTTATAAGCTGTGAATCTGAGGTTTCAAATCACAATATCACCTCTCTCATTCGAATTCACTGTAAACGTCTTTAATGAGACACATGCCATCACTATTTGAAATCTTAGACAACACAAAATCAAGCCTCCTCAAACCATGATGGATATTTTGGTGACAAGAACATATGGATGATTATGATGATAATGATCATTTTGATGATGGCATAGAAACTGATAATTGTATCCACGGTAATGCTCAAGTTTCAGGTGCAGTTCGCTGGGATCTGTACAGAAGACATCGTCATCAGAAGAGTTCCTGCACGGTCCTCCAGACACTAAATACTGCCTCGGCTATATACTGTGGCTCAATCTGTTCACTAACCAGCGGCTGTACGGACTTCAACTTATCCATCCTCGGGGACAGTTTTGAATGTCAGCTGTTAAGATGCCTGCTAGACTTCCTTCTTAGTAGTTCCCCAGATCACGACTTTTACGAAGAGATATAATACTTGAGTGAATGAGCACTCCAAAACTACCCTTTTTGGTATAAAATATATTCCAAGGAAACAACTCACACTTCTTCGATACACCTAAAACAATGTCAATAAAATGACCCAAACTGTACATATATATTTGGTGTCGTGCTGGTGCGGTGCTCTCCGGGATTCGGGAAGGGAGATGTTCCGCAGAGACTGAGGATATTGTTTGTTTGTGTTTTAACGGTATTGTTGAGTTATATGACTATGAATAATCGAGTCTGGACCAGACAGTACAGTGGTCAACATCATAAGCATCAATCTACGTAGTTGGGAAAATATGACGTGTGTCAACCAAGTCAGCGAGCCTGACCACCCGATCCCGTTACTCGCCTCTTATGAAAAGCATGGGTTGCTGAAGACCATTTCAGGATTCTGGGTCTAAGCAAACCCTGTATCAGGTGCTAGGGTCAGTGACTTGCTGGTCGCTGTATTATCTCATTTAAACATGGTTATTTAAAGGCGGGCAAGATACAACAGGAATATTGCTGAGTACGTCGTTAAAAACCAACAGCGAAATCTGATGGGGCTGCTGCTAGGATACTGAACCCGTGCCTTTAACAGATTGACATACAGGAATGAATCTGAATTCAAGTCACTAGTTCTAAAGTCAGTCTCCTTCAGACACATATGCATTAGCCACGGTTCAGAAATTTCACACAGTCAAACGCTGAAGATGTCTACGGAAAGAAAACCCTTTAGTGAGTTCAATATTTTTATCGATCTGTCCACTGTGTGTGGGTGAAAGGGTAGGAGAGCACAAGACATGTTGTTATATGAATTAGTTACGTAGTTACGTACCTTGGGAATTAGCCAGTACATTGCATTAGCTGCCTTGTTCTAACGTTTATAACGGTGGAGCATGAAAGAGTCTCTTTGTCTGGATGTGCATCTCCCACAGAGAGTTACCTGTTCCACTTGAAGTGTTGTTGAAAATACTAATGATTGAAAACATACCGTGAGACTTGAAAACCAGGCCCCGATTTCTCGAAACAAACTTAAGTCTGAGTTTTGACTTAAGTAAGAGTTTTTACTCAAATTTGAGAAAAAGCAGGAAAATGCATTTCCCAGAATGAACTGAAATCGATATTACACTCAAACATAGTTGACAATTTGAATTGGGTAGATAGGTTACTTAAGTTGTTTGGGCTTTTTTATTTAAAAAAATGCAGTTGAGTTAAAAAATCAGCTGTTTCAAATTGTCAAACTAAGTTTGAAATTTGAGTAAAAACTTAAGTTTTTTCGAGAAATCGGGGCCAGATCTCCAGGCCCTCTTCAGATGCACTGTTTTTGGCTGAAAGTCATGTGAGAAAGGTTCATGTCGGTTTTGTGTTGTATAATGTGAGTGAGTTTAGTTTTACGCCCCAGTCAGCAATATTTCAGCTATATGGCGGCGGTCTGAAAATAATCGAGTCTGGACCAAACAATCAAGTGATCAACAGCATGAGCATCGATGGTGTTGTATAACGTTGTATTGGCCATTGTTGAAGCTCTATGACGTTTAATCGAATCTTAATCGAGTCTGTTTCGGTCTCAGTGGATCCGGTGGTCAGTTTCGGTGACGGCGACGGTGCCCTGCTTACAATATTGATCACTTGATTGTCAGTCCGGATGTCACGATTTTCAGGCCGCTGTCATGTTGTCGACATTGACAAACACACACACACACACACACAAAGATAATGAATGTTCCTCAGAAAGGGAGGTAACGCTGGGTAACCTATTGGTTAAAGTGTTCGCTCCTTACGTAGAAGACCCGGATTCAATTCCCCTCATGGATAAAATGTTTGAAGCCCATTTCTGGTGTCCCCGTCGTGATATTGCTGGAATATTGCTAAAAGCGGCGTAAAACTAAACTCACTCACTCACTCTTGTGAAACACTGCCTGTGAATGTATATTGACGCTCTATTCTGTAAAGACCATTTTCAGGTGTCCCCCGCCGTGAATTAGCTGGAATATTGCTTAAAGCGGCGTAAAACCACACTCACTTACTGTTTTGCAATAGTGATACATTTGCTGAATTTGTATTTATGTGTGAACTCAGTTAATTGTTAAATACAACACAATTCATGGTGAATCACACCTGGACTGCATATAATAACATACAGATAAAATATAACTGGAAACAGAAAACATTTACCATATTCCTCTTATGAGTTACAACTTTCTTTGAATCTTATAAGTTCTTACTGCACTGAAATCTCCCCAATTCTATTCTTGTTGTAGCGTCTTGTAGGCTCTGAAACAATATTGCACCTTTCACCTTCCACTTTTGGGGCGGTGGGGTAGCCTAGTGGTTAAAGCGTTGGCTCGTCACGCCGAAGACCCGGGTTCGATTCCCCACATGGGCACAATGTGTTAAGCCCATTTTCTGGTGTCCCCCGCCGGGATTTTGCTGGAATATTGCTAAAAGCAGCGTAAAACTAAACTCAGTCAGTCAGTCAGTCCACTTTTGACTATAAATGAAACGTCTATTCAACGTCAGGTTTCAACCTTGTTACAACGTTGGTGTTCATGCTGGGATTATACATGTGGATACAATGCGTAACTGATCATGACACTTGGCATTGTATACTCAGTTGCAAAAGTAATGACGTTATGTATAACTCACAGAATATTACTAGTACCTGTAACCTCATAATAATCACTGCTGAACCTCATAATAATCACTGCTGAACCTCATAATAATCACTGCTGACATGCAGTGATTCATATTGTTCAATAGATCAGTAATCAACAATGGAGAGCTGGTATCTGTGGTCTGTATTTACTCTACATTTATTAATTCCAACATAAACCAATGGATGTGCAAATAAAATAGTTTCAGACATTTGTGTTGTTTGTTAATAGATAATTTGTTTATGAGCTTTTCATGGCGTGCCAGCATGTCAGAATACAACGGAGAGTAATTTCTATTTCACTCTATGTATTTATTCATCATCTTTCTTTACAAGGAAGAGTAGGCAAACATTACATATTGGAGGTGTGTGGTCCTGCGCATAGAGCTTAGGTTACAAATCAGTTGAAGTTAAGCAACGTTGGGTGACTGAGTGTGACAATATGACTCCTGAGAGTTTCTAGGACGAAGCACATGTGACACATGTGGTCCCACCTTAGGCAAGTGAGTTTGTTGAAAATTGCCTCTGTTCAACCAGCAGAAAATGGGTACCCGGTGAAATAAGTCGTGAGACTATTAACCTTCTAGCGCGTCACAGGCAGCTTGGATTATCCGGAGTAATAGTCATCAGATTGTGCGCTTTGAGCAGGATATCTAGCCTGGAAAAGTAGCGTTATAATATTCTCATTATCCTCATTATTACATCTTGGGTAACAGTTTAGGGATACCCACCGGGTACACCATTTAAGCATGCTTGAGATCGCTCAATGACAAAACTGCAATAAAATTGAAAAACGTGTGACCAAACCTTCTTCTTGTCAGAAACATCATGCATAATTCCAACACTGTGATAATGTTGTAATACATACTGGACATAATAACTGAGACAGGTTCATTCTGAAAATGTATTCTGTATCACAATTTGCCATTTAGGCAATACCTAAATATTGCCTACTAATCACGGCGACTTTGACATTCATAATGATACCAGTAACACAGAAATCATTTCCACATTTAATGAGGTAGATATTGATTAGACATAAATTCACTTCATGTATCTCGACATAAATATAATCACACAAATAACAACTGTCAGCCGAAACGATCAATCAGGCCTCTGTTGTTAAACTGAGTGAGTTGTGATCGCCTTATTTGAGCAGCATTATATTGATATAACTGCGTGGCCGTTTAATTATTGTCAAAAATAACGACGACTGAGAAGGACGTAAACAGTCCTACTTTGATCGTTATCAGGAGGAAAGTGTGATTCGAACTCACAGCTGCTATGTAAGTCTCGGAGCCCCAATCTCAAGCCAGTTGCCATTAGGAGAGTTATAGGCCCTGATTGAAGATAACCTTTGAACACTTTGTTGTAATCTGAAATATTTCCAGGGCGTCAAGTAAAGATTCTTGACTATTTACGCATGAAATACATTTTACTGAGCAAATATAAATAAAGTCATAAAGAAAATATTTAAAAGAGTTAGTTCAATCCAGTTGAAGATAAAAACTAGTTGGTTTCCCCGAACCTTATCTGTTATCAAAACTCCTCCACGCTCAGATCGAAGTGCTATTTTCGTATGACCCAACATTTGGTGTGTCTGTGTTGTCCTCTGATCCTGTCGAGTGATTCAGTGTTCAGTGTTTGCACAGATTTAGATTGTGCATTATGTAACATAAGGTTATCTTGTTCTGAGAGGGTCTGTCAGCACCGGTCACCGCGAGTTGCGTCCCCTTGGCAGAGTTGCGTCCCCTTGCCATGCCCGATACCTGGCTTCGAATCACTGTTTTTTTCTCTGATATCTAGGTTGTGAGAGTGAGTAAGTGTTGTTTCACGCCGCTTTTAGCAATATTCCAGCAACATCACCAGAAATTGGCTTCACACATTGTACTCATGTGCGGCATCGAACCCGGGTCTTCAGCGTAACGAGCGGACGCTTTAACCATCAGACTACCCATTGCACCACTCTTACGTATGGCTTTCACGTGTGGTAAAATTTAATTGTACGACTAAAGATTGAAAGTAACATGTCGTCACATAATGGAAATATACCGACATGACTTTCAAACAGCTTGGGGGGCGGTGGGGTAGTAAAGTGGTTAATGGTTAAAGTGTTCGCTCGTCACGCCGGAGGCCTGGGTCCGATTCCCCACATGGGTGTAATGAGTGAAGCCCATTTCTGGTGTGCGTAAAACTAAAGTCACTCACTTACTTACCAAACTCAGTCACTCATGCGGGCGGTGGGGTAGCCCAGTAGTTAAAGCGTTCGCTCGTCACGCCGAAGGCCCGGGTTCGACATTGTGTGAAACCCATTTCTGTTGTCCCCAGCCGTTATATTTCTAGAATATTGGGTTAAAACCAACTCATTCACTCAAACACAGGTGAGCTACAGTCATCACTCACTCACTCACTTATTCATTCTAAGGTATATCATTATCAAGCAGAAATGTGTTCATAAGGAGGCGGGGCGCTGGAATCAACCTCTTCGTATCTCGGCGGTTGAGGCACCTCAGCCCTAGGTCGACCTGCTAACAACGATGTCCTCTCGTTCGGGAAACGAGATAATACGTGACGACGAGGAGCTCGGATTTGTCGGAGTCCGTTGTTCTGTGGGTCCTTGCAACATACACACACGAAAATAGTCAAAACACAACCTAAGAGGAGCGGACATGCGCAGAAGGCTAGAACGTAAACACTCGGCCTTGCGTTGCACGTAGTAGTAATGGAAAAATCATCAGGAAAACTGTCATCAGATATATGATACACGATGACCTGGTTTGAGTTCAGGTCAAGGTCAATGTCACAGTCTACGGTGTTCAAGCAACTGTATATGGATCCGTTAGTGTCATACAGCGTCCTCGTTAATGTGAATTCTGCCGTCACCCAAGTGTCGTAGATGTTGTTTTTGTAGACGAAGTAGTAGTCGTCGGACGTTGTAGCGTTCAACGTGTAATGATCCATGGAGTTCTTGCAGTCTTTAGTCACCAGTATCGCCTTGATAAAACAGTCGTTACAATTTTTGTGTTCTTTCCACGTGATAAAGTTGTCTTCACCTTTGATAACATAGAGATCTATGTTTGTGTCGGAGCACGACATCACATTTATCACAGATCCCTCCAGAAGATAAAACTTCCAGTAGTTGTAATCACCATTAACAATATAAATCGATTCTCGCTGATAGTAATTTTGTAACCTATCTGGATCAACGTATGGTTGCGTGTCGAAAAGATACGCCGAAAACTCAGAGTTCGAATCCAGAGTGAGACTGTCACAGAAAAGAGTTGATATCTTCCTGTCAACACTGCGCATGTCAGTGGGTGCAATGTCTTCTTCGTAAGGTCCAAAAATGCCCAGACCACACACAGCCGCCCCAACAATTGCCAGGAGAAAACAATATATCCATACAATCTGCGCACGTTTCGCACGTGTCATCGGTCGTACGCAGAACACGTAACCAAGGAAATAGCAAGCTCCGCAGCAACACTTCAAACAACACTCGTCACATTGCTCGGGGTTGCTGGTTGACCAGTGATACCTTTCGGTGAAGATGGCGTTGTATTCTCCACTGTAGGTGGCGCTGCTTCCGAGAAACATGGAGGAACTGTCCGAGTGGAGCCCGCCAGATTCATTTGAGCTGTTTGCCATGATTGGAAGTTTAACATCGGTGTATGTGTGTTCTGAAATGATAAGAGGGAATATCGAATAATCAGTGAAACATATTGCCATTACCTACTTCAATTTGTCCATACACTGCCCGTGAAGATCCGGGTTAGAATTGATCTTCAGCCACCCATACTTGTTGTAAGAGGCGACTAACGGGATCGGGTCGTCTTATCCCAATTGCGTAGATCGATGCTCATGCTGTTGATCACTGTAATGTCTGGTCCAAACTCGATTATTTACATACCGCCACCATATAGCTGGAATATTGCTGAGTGCGGCGTAAAAGTAACTCACTCACTCATACTCTGTTCTTCTCACGGGAATTTTAGACTAGAGTGGAACCTCAGCAACATGGGGATCGGGTGGTCAGGCTGGGTGTCTTTTGGATTGACCCAGGAGGCACCCGATCGCGGGTCACAATGTCAATCACTTGATTGTCTGGTACACTCTATTATTCTAAAGGACGCTATCATGGAGATTGATGTGTGGGACATAACCATAAATACATGACATATGCTGTGGCCAAAGGAGAGTACATAATCGTCTGTATGCAATGTTACCACAGTATAGAATCGACCCATGTATTAGTCTCGGTACAATATTTGCATGCACCAAATGTAAATTTGAACACGTGGTGAAAGCCCTACATTGTAAACCGTTTCACTGTACAGCGTAACTAGACTCCAGCACATCACCCCTGGATCCATGTATATATAATCTGTACTAGGGACGACACACCTATACCGCTGCACAAAAGGTATTTAAATACAACATGATATAAATCAAACCATGTGTACCGCATGATTGAAATAAAACACCTGTAACAAACACCTGTACCGCTTTGAAAACACTTATCAAATCTAAAACACCTAAGCCACACTTTATCACCTGTGCCTATCTCAAGTACACCTAGTACCGGTGCGATACAACTTGTACCACGATATAACCTGTGCCAAAACACGATCTGTAATAAAGTACAACTTGTGCCATGACACAAACTGCAACATAGCACAACCTGTGGCATGACACAACCTTTAAAATAGCACGACCTGTAACACAATACAACCTTTAATACAGCACAACCTGTGATGCGATAAACCTTTAAAATAGCACAACCTGTGACACGATACACCCTTTAACACAGCACAACCTGTGACACGATACAACCTTCAGTACAACACAACCTGTAACACGATACAACTTTTAATATGGCACAACCTGTGACACGATACAACCTTTCACATAGCACAACCTGTGACACGATACAACCTTTAATATAGCACAACCCGTAACACGATACAACCTGTAACATTGTACAACCTGTAACACGGTATAACCTGTAACATAGTACAACCTGTAACATAGTACAACCCGTGACACTGTACAACCTGTAAAATAGTACAACCTGTAACACGGTACGACGTGTAACATAGTACAACCCGTGACACGGTACAACCTGTAACAAAGTACAACCCGTGACACGGTACAACCTGTAACACGGTACAACCTGTAACAAAGTACAACCCGTGACACTGTACAACCTGTAAAATAGTACAGCCCGTGACACGGTACAACCTGTAACATAGTACAACCCGTGACGCGGTACAACCTGTAAAATAGTACAGCCCGTGACACTGTACAACCTGTAAAATAGTACAACCCGTGACGCGGTACAACCTGTAACACGGTACAACCTGTAACATAGTACAACCTGTAACACGGTACAATCTGTAACACGGTACAATCTGTAACATAGTAACATACAACCTGTAACACGGTACAATCTGTAACATAGTACAACCTGTAACACGGTAACATAGTACAACCTGTAACACGGTAATCTGTAACATAGTACAACCTGTAACATAGGTACAACCTGTAACACGGTACAACCTGTAACATAGTACAACCTGTAACACGGTACAACCTTTAATACAGCACAACCTGTAACACGGTACAATCTGTAACATAGGTACAACCTGTAACATAGTACAACCTGTAACACGGTACAACCTGTAACATAGTACAACCTGTAACACGGTACAATCTGTAACACGGTACAACCTGTAACATAGTACAACCTGTAACATGGTACAACCTGTGACACGGTACAATCTGTAACATATAGTACAACCTGTAACACGGTACAATCTGTAACATAGTACAACCTGTAACATGTTACAACCTGTAACACGGTACAAACCTGTAACACTGTACAGCCTGTAACATAGTACAACCTGTAACACGGTACAACCTGTAACATAGTACAACCTGTAACATAGTACAACCTGTAACATGGTACAACCTGTAACATGGTACAACCTGTAACACGGTACAATCTATAACATAGTACAACCTGTAACACGGTACAATCTGTAACATAGTACAACCTGTAACACGGTACAACCTGTATCGCGGTACACGGGGACCATAATATGAAAGCTGCACTAGGTCACAAAACACATAAACCTCGGAAACACATGACTCACCATCACCCATTGTACAACACACAGAACCCACCTGCACTACGATACAAAAAATCAGCTTGTCAACCACAATACTACAAACCCGTGGCGTAGTATAAAACGATCTGTAACTGTTCTAAGATTTGATGTACTGAATAAAGGACAGGTGTTCGATTAGAACGGGATTCGTCCTCATCTACCTATGTAGCATCTGTACCCTGTTATCTCTATATCAACTGAGATAAAGCAGGTTGCGATATACATATCTACACGTATGTACACGGTGATGGGGTAGCCTAGTGGTTAAAGCGTTCGCCCGTCACGTCGAATGTCCGGGATCGATTCCCCACATCTGTACAATGGTTGGGTTATTGTTAAAAGCAGCTCAAGTATATACAGAATTTCAGTGTCCCTATTATTAGCCTGTTAATATAGCAGTCTCTCACCCGGACACTAGAAAATATATTAAACAGGAATCCTAATCGTATCATTTGCGTAGATCGATGTTCATGCTGTTCACTAGATTGTCTGGTCCAGGTTTAATTATTTACAGATCGTTGCCACATAGCTGGAATATTGCTGAGTGCGGCGTAAAACCCAACTCACTCACTCAGGGAAAGGTTACCAAAACACGGATAGTGAATGTAAAAATTCCTTAGACAGAAAATATTGCAAATGATTAGAACGTGGCGCGACTTCCTAAACGTCAATGTGAACAATCACATCAAACCGAAGTCCATCGCTGAAATCAAAATCCGCTAATAACATACGTCTAAAAGTGAGCGAGTGAGTGTGGTTTTACGCCGCTTTTAGCAGTTGTCCAACAATATCACGGAGGAACATAAGAAATGGGCTTCACACATGTTACCCACGGGGTAATCGAACCCGGGCCTTCTGCGTGTTGAGGGAACGCTTTACCAACTAGGCTACCCCACTGCCCCACATCTAGAAGAAAATTATTATAGGATTGAATATCTCACACCTATAGGAGAGATACAAACAGACACAACAAAGACCAAACGCCGCAGTAGATTATATACAAAACGGTGTTCTGGACCACACGAACCGGTGATTGTTATTGTGACTCTGATTGTGAATAACCCTAAGTCTCTCGAAAACAAATCTATTTCCATTACAATTATCAAGTCGGATGTTTTATTCAGCATGTAGGCCCACATACAATATCTATATATTTACATAATGTAATTTCATGTGCCATTTGTTAGCATATTTGTGAACTGAGGCACAAGGGCTTGATGCGCTAAAACATAGCATCAAGGCTCATATTGTCAATATAGCGCTAACCAGATCCTGTGAACTAATGGACTATTCTCTCTTCTCATATGCATGCAACAAGTATTTAAACGCATTCTGACCATACACCTCTGGAAAATATTTGAATTTTAAATTGTTAGAAATCGCACAAATAATAGTAAAATGGCACTTGTCTCTGGCAAAGTTACACAGTGGAGATAGATGTTGTGACACATAAGGTAACCCCTCGCTTCGTTATTATGTTTTAGGGCGGAGGGGTAGCCTAGTGGTTAAAGCGTTGGCTCGTCACGCCGAAGACCCGGGTTCGAATACCCACATGGGCACAATGTTTGAAGCCCATTTCTGGTGTCCCCCGCCGTGATGTTGCTGGAATATTGCTAAAAGCGGCGTAAAACCAAACTCAGTCAGTCAGTCGTTATGTTTTAAGCAACAAAACACATCAAAATCGGATCCATGACACTCCCTTGATAACAAACATAGACCAATATGTCCGTGTGTGAATATCCTCTGCAGCGGAACGGAACTTTTACAACGAACTTGATTATATTACACGTTGTTAAAATTTGTCTGTAGAAATGAGTGAGTGAGTGAGTTAATATTTAACGTCATCGGCAATATCCCAGCCATATCGTGACGAAAACTGTAGAAATGAAACCGTGATACATACAGTTCACGATCTCGCCTCTATCAGGATGAAGTACGCAGCAGTAGACGAAGTTCCTGTCTCCTCCAATGTGATTAATGCGGCTCCGGTTTCTTCCGCTTGGCGATAACTCCAGGAGTATAGCTGTTACTCAAGGGCCGGTATAAGTGTTATTAATTACATACAGTGATCACGAGACGGTGTTCACGAGAACCGATAAACTCCAGCTGATATGTACACGTGATCAACTCGCTCTACTACTGATATGACGACCACTGAGTTTAATCGTGATATGAACCGCTTGATAACATGGTGTTCCGTATGTGTGTTTAAAACTCCGTATGACGACGTGATTCGACGAGTATAATTGTTACATCCAGTGCGCTGCTACGAAGTTTCTTAGGACATTGTCACGTATGGTCAGCAGTACAATGGGGATGTACTGGTAAATATCGGGCTGCCTAGTTTGAATGCTGGACTTGATCGTTGACAAATAACAATGCAATAGAATATACTGCCATAAGAAATATATAAGTATGTAACTGGTAATAGCTCAAGGCTGAAATATTCCTGCTGTGTCGGGTTGCCTTAAAATAACATTAGTGTGGAAAAACGTTTTCAGATTCTGAATGTATAATGAGTTAGTGAGTTAGTTTAGTTTTATGCCACGTTTAGCAATATTCCAGCAATATCATGGCAGGGATACAAGAAATGGGCTTAACACATTGAGTGAGTGGTTTTAGTTTTACGCCGCTTTTAGCAACATTCCAGCAATATCACGTCGGGGGACACCAGAAATGGGCTTCACACATTGTGCCCATGTGGAGAATCGAACCCGGGTCTTCGGAGTGACGAGCGAACGCTTTAACCACTAGGCTACCCCGCCGCCCCCTTAACACATTGAAGTCATGGGGGCAATCGAACCAGTGTTCAGCGTCTGAATATATAAACGTCTTTACACTGACGCAAAGACCTTGCCTCAAAACGAAATTACCCATTGAAAATTACATTCAAATTAAATTTTAAAAGATATGAAATTTAAATGCAGTCAAACACCGTTGTGTTGAAGTTGAGGATGTTTCAAAGTAAACGCTTGATCCCTGGTTATTCATGTTTTAGTCATTTTGCTGTTGTGTCGAAACTCGGATAACTCGAAGTATAGCTAGGGCCCTTCAAGTTCGATACAACCGTGTTTGATTGCATTCTTTCCGATATATTATGTTCTGTACAGACAAAATCTGCTTCCTGTACCCGTCCTGTCACATCTGAATAAAACAATGGTTCACTACTGATCTGGCAGCAAATTGAATAAACTATGTTTATAACGAACATGCTTATATCGATCTGATGGATATAACTAACCTTGCTTTCGCTCCTGACCTCTAACTGTAGATTTAGTCGAAATGCATATTATCAATATGACGAACTATAGCTTCAGGGAAATAGAGCTAGTGGTACCTTTGAATACGTTATAACCCTAGTTCATAGTATATGCAAAAATATATAAAACATGTGCCTGCAGGGTTGTACTGACTTCTAGCAGGGAGCGCACTCCACGGCGGTCGGCCAACACGCACTTCCTACTTCCTACGTCGCCCGGGACATGAACCAATCGTATAGACTCGTAATATGACGTCACAGGCGGACCTTACCTATAGTCTGTTTGCAGTGAAAACGAATCCTCATAATTCTACCTTGCCAATTAAAAATTAACTCTTAGATTTTTATTCAACTTAGGAAAAAAGTTGTTTAACAAACGATCATTGTTTTAAATCGCTTATATTGGTTTTTATTACAAGGGGGTGAACGCAGTAGTTGGAACAGTGAAACAAACGGTACGTACACGTGCGGTACGTGTTAACTTAGACCAACCCTCCTTGTTCTCGGCGTTTCATATAATGTGCATACTCCATTGTAATACAAACCAATAATACCGATTTGAAACTATGATCGTTTGTTAAACAACTTTTATCCTAAGTTGAATAAAAATCTGAGATTTAAATTTTGAAATGGCAAGGTAAAATTATGAGGATTCGCAATCTTATTTTCTCTTTATTTGATTTACATTTTTGTTTAAAGTAAAATTCATCGGTACGTTTTCACCGCGAACATACTATAAAGCTGATCATATTCGAATATCTGATCGTGTCTCTATTCAGTGGGGAGGGATTGATAGTATCAGGCGAGATTTGTTATTTACAGATTTAAAAAAATGAATGGAGCAAATGGGTTTCAGGTGATCTTTGTACAGAGGGGCTGGTTGGCTTTTGCCTCATTTGTAAACGCTGCCCAGACAGCATCTTGTACTCGCTGGCTGACCAAGAACGTTATCATCATCATCATCATCATCATCATCATCATCATCATCATCATCATCCCAATCACCCCAATCATCATCATCCCAATCATCATCATAATCATCATCATCATCATCATCATCATCATCATCATCATCATCATCATCATCATCATCATCCCAATCATCATCATACCAATCATCATCATACCAATCATCATCATCATCATCACAATCATCATAATCATCATCATCATCATTGGTATTGACGCGGTAAACCATCCATGACTATCAGATTTTCAATGGAAGTTGGTACAAACTATATCAGTTAACGACAAAATAGCAGTGATTGAGTCTATCTGTACGCCGCACTCAGCAGTATTGAAGCTTATTGGTGGCGGTCTGTAAATAATCGAGTCTGGACCAGACAATCCAGTGATCAAACGCATAAGCATCGAGCTATGCAACTGGGATGCGATGACATGTGTCAACCAAGTCAGCGAGCCTGACCACCCGATTCCTTTTATCGCCTCTTAGGGCATTATTGTTTTATGTGTTTCACGTAGCCACCAAATTCTGACCAAGGGACAGTCGGGGAAGAAAAATATATCTGAAAAATGTTCTTTATTCTCATTTATTGTAGTTCGAGTCGGCGGTGTTGGGAACGATCAGCTCTAACCCGGATCTTCACGGGTCTCACAAAACTTCAACAACACATACAACCCGTGTTAGTTAAATCAGAAAACCCGTCTTCCGGACAATGTTTGTTGAAGGCGCCCACGCATTAATACCGGTAAATCCGAATAACCCATGACTCGTTTATCCAGAAGTGTGTAAAGCCGGACTATTTCACGGTGAAAGTTGTGTGCGGATTAACGAGGTTCCAAAGTACGCGTTCTTAATACAAATTCGACAATACGTAAACAGCGTGTTTTTTGACGAGTTGATAGGTACGATTCTACGCCAAAATTAGCATTATTCCAGACTTGTCGGACCGGGGACAAAAGTAACAGGCTTCACTCAATGAGCCCGCGTGACGAATCAGGGGCGTAGCTGCCATTATACAAAAAGAAAGCCCGGGCTTACACATGATTGATGCTAAAACATTTTTTTTCTAATGCCAAAATACCTCAAATGCTTTCTAAATATAAAGCTTTGCAACCCAGTGTGCGAAATCCTGAGTAGCCGGCTACTGGCCCGCTAGGCCGTGGTTAGTAAAAATCCAGTCGGGCCAGTAAATCAGTCATCGGCACGACTGGCTAGTGAATTTTCAGGGGGTCATTTTGTAAATATATCACTCTCCCCGACTTGTTAAGTTATAATACAATTTTAAATCATGCAAGATTATGGCCTGATAAAAACTGTTCATCATATTAGCAGCTTAACGATGAAACCTAGGTCTCCATTCCAATTTCGGGCTAGTGAATTATTTTGTGCGCTAGCAACTTTCAGGCATAGCTCGCCCAACTGGCTAGCAAAATTCGGAAACTATTTCGCACACTGTTGCAACCTATCGGGCTTACACGAACAATTGGCCTGCTACGCGCCTGCGAATCGAACCCAAATCTCATACGTAGCCACCGTGTTCTCGAACATCATGTAGGCCGACTAACAATTTAGCAATGTTCGTTATGAAATTCATCACATGACAACGAATACACAATAAAAATGTAAAAAATATGTTGTAGACTGCCTTCAAGCAAGTAACCCAAACCATGTCTATGTCAATGTTGTCTGTGCCTCTGAACAAACTGACGAGCACAACTAAGTATCAGCAGTGTAATGTTCGGAATAAAAGGGTTATAAAATTCATCATACGGCAAAGAATACATATTAAAAAAAATAAAAACTACTTTTTTGTGCATTACCTTCAAGCAGGCAAGCCCAACTACGACCTATGCCAATATATTATGTACCTTTGAGCAAAACTGACGAACACTGCTAACCATTATCAATGTAATGTTCGCAACGAAAGAATTATGAAATTTATTATGCGGCGACGAATACATAATACATATATAAAAAGATATTTATAGATTGCATAAAAGCAAGCTCAACCATTTTGTCCTACGTCAGTTTTGTGTGTGGCTTTGTACACACAAACACTACTGATAGAGAGGAGTGTTCGCGTCTAAAAACAATGCTAACCTGAATATTGAGGACACGGTGAACTACTGCGATATAACGAACTGGAATCCCCCATTTCCCAGAAGTGAACAGTTCTCGGAAGGGGTTTGTATTTGAAGGATCTATGTACGTGAGCAATGACCCACTTATGGACACAAGCGCGTTCTGCGGCGGAGAATACTAACGGTGGTAATTACGCAGTATTATATATACTCTTAAAATACTCTTTAAAACATTAGGGGAACCTGACAAGCTTATCAAAGAAAGATATCTTATGAGCGTACAACCATTTCACTCCTAAACACAACGCATGAGATTCACGTGCACAACACACAAGCCCCATAAAATAGAGTGTAATTCTTGATTTTGACGGTTTTCAAGGACAATAAATCACCGTAGACTGCATCACACAGTTGTTGGTGTTTATTTCTATCCGTTGTTTCTTATGTTTGAAAATGAAAATGGTACACATGCAAATTTCACGTCATGCATCAATCATCCTTCAAGAGCGATTAGGGGGCGGTGGGGTAGCCTAGTGGTTAAAGCGTTGGCTCGTCACGCCGAAGACCCGGTTTCGATTCCCCACATGGGCACAATGTGTGAAGCCCATTTCTGGTGTCCCCCCGCCGTGATATTGCTGGAATATTGCTAAAAGCGGCGTAAAACTAAACTCAGTCAGTCAGTCAAGAGCGATTACTGTACAAACAACTATGGTCATAAGGAAGTGCAAGTGGTGATGGACTCTCAGCACATTCATCATATCAACATTAACCCGATATTAGACAATGTGGAGTATCTTGTCCAAGGATGCTACGCAAATGTACCCACCTCGA